CGTTATCAAGAGAAAGAATAGATAAAATTAGCATCAGGAATCGTTGTTCTGAGTTTCAAGAGTTATTTTTAAAAAAAGAAAGAAATAAACAAGGTTTAAAAAAAAAAAAAAAAAAAGGTGTAAGAATCTCTGGGGTTGTATACAGCCCTTATTCTGAGAACTCTGTTTTAAAAAAGCCCTGCACAGTTATGGCAGCTCTAAGGCTGCCTGTGTTCTCAGAGTGAAAGATTACCTATGATTGACTGTCTTGCTTTTTCCCAAATGGAAATTGTAGATTCTCGATGCACAGATTTCCAAGTTGTATAGGAATATACTGCGAAAATGCATTATTTATCTAGTGCATGATCTTACAGTATAAGTAATTAACTGGTATGTAACAAAATGGTGCAAAGAAAGGCCTTGTTTTTTTCTTTTTCAATGAGGCGCTATGTTTTTGGTGATAGGTGGTTTAAAGATATTTAGCTTATGGATCTGTTTTAGGAAACTTAAGCTGCAAGGGATTCTTGTAGATAGTGTTTAATTTGATTTATTTAAAATTCATCTAAGAAAGGGAGGCCTGGATGTGTAATTTTTACCAGAATACATGGGAACCTTGCAAAGAGATGAAAGCCAGTTATAATACCCCAATCATTAGAAATTACCAGTATAACAAAACATAAAATATTTCACTTTAGAATATTTAAGCATAGCTGTCTTTCTTAAGACCTAAGAAGGTAGCTTATTTAAAGGGCTTAAATTTTAAGATACAGGATATATTGCCTTTTTAAAGCTTAGAATTTTATATAAGGAAAGCTTTTATTTTCAATTTTAAATCTGTCAAATAAGTGTGATGTACTTTAGACGTGAACAGAGATGTTCTCCATGATGCTGAATTCAGCATGTAGCTCCTGCAGTTGTTTGCATTTTTAAAGGTGTGTTCTACTAACTGTGGCTGCATTTAGCATGGAAACAAAGGGATTAATAAGTTTCTGGTTTGTTTGTTGTTTTTTTTTTTTTTTTTTTTGCATTTCGAGTTCTCTATAAATTGATGCAAATGGAGCTTACCACCTATAAAAATACATTTAAATTGATTTTTCTTAATTTGAATTTTAGTAATTCGTTACACATTGCTAGCTTTTAAAGTTCTCAATTTCACTGAGACAAAGTGTACAGGCATATCTCAGAGATACTGAGGGTTCAATTCCAGACTACTATAATAAAGCAAATACTGCAATAAAGCAAGTCACATGAGTTTTTTGTTTTCCCAGTGCATGTAAAGTTAAGTTCATACTATATTGTTAGTATGAAATAGCATTATGAAAAGTTTGAAATATCATGAGAATTACCAGAATGTAACACAGAGACATGAAGTGAGCACTTGCTGTTGGAAAAATGGTGCGGATAGACTTGCTTAGTGCAGGGTTGCCACAAACCTTCAATTTGTTAAAAATAATAATAGTAACAGTATATGTGAGGCACAATAAAATGAAGTATGCCTGTACTAAAGTGTTCCATCTCTTTGAATTAACCATTCTGGTTTATAGTAATTTGGTTTCATGTTGTGACATACGCCCTTTGGTATTAAAAACAAGAAATTAAAAAAAAGAACACCTCCATTTGGTTAAAATTATTTTACTAAATGCAAGACTAGTCAGCACATTTAATGTACTTACATTGGTAACTCAGTTACATCCTAACTACTGAGCCAGAGTCCCTTGGTAGCTGAGAGCTTTTGGAAGCTCTGTTAAATCTTCCAGTCTTTTATTTCTTATTATTTCATTCTCTTACTTATCTTGATCTAAATATTGGCCAGTTAGCTATTTTTATTGGCTCTCATTTTGAAGCTTCTCAGATCATGTTTTAATCTCTTGTAGCTTTTTAGCCCCTGAAAAATACATTACTATATAATGTATGGCCATCCTTTAGTAGTATACCATGTAGAAATATTCTTATTACTTAGAGTGAAGAGTGCTAGATATTTAACATTTTAAGTGAAAGGAGTTTGAGATTTGAGGAATTAATGAATAGGACAATTAGAAACTTTTTCATGTGGCACCTATTCATCTGCAAAATGTGAAGTAAAAACTGAAACATACACCTAAGTGAGGGATAATAATTTCCTAGATATTAACTAGGGGGATGCCTTAGTAAAATTGGCACTTTGAAGAAACAGACACAAAGTTGCTAACAGGTAATAGTGAGATTTTTACTGTAAATTATTGACAGAATATGCTTAATTTATAATATATTTTAATTTTGAAAGCTGTTGAGAGAAGAATGTAGAGAAACTAGTCTGTTTCTGAAGCAGTAGAATGGAGTAAGAAAAGAAAAACCTCTATTGTAAACATGTCTATGAGAAGTATTTATAGTTAAACATACTCATACTCCCATGGCTTTCAGCTAAAATCATCAAATTTTAAATTGTTATTTCTTATTTTGCCAATACCTTTTTTCTCTTTCAGTATCATTTTTTGCTTGGCAGAATGTGATGACATAGGGTATTTTATTTGGAAAGCCTTCAGTGAGATGAATTTGCCAAAAGCAATAATGGTTTAAACAATGAATTGGAATTGAACCAGTTTCTAGGTGGATATTTCATTTTGTTGTTGTTGTTGTTAGACTTTAAATATATTGAGCTATTATCACCGTATTTGTGAAGAATTAAACATACCAGACTGTGGATGAAGACTCAGTACTAGTGCCATCATTAGTCATACTTTTTTTTTTCTTCAGTAGATAGTTCTGCTACACCATAGTGATTATATTTTTATGAAGGAAAAAAAAATGTTTTTACAAATAGTAATGCACCAGAGACACCAGGTGATGTTATTGGAATGTCTGCTTGGCAATGCCTTATTGCTGCTTCAGTAAGCTCCCTTTGTATAGATAGGATCTAGGCCAGTTCCAACTGTTATCAAGGTTCCTATGAACATAATAGTTTACAAAGAACTTAAGAGTTCAGACCACTGGCTGAGAACAAAAACTTTTTTTCTTTTTAAACTTTTGGAATTTTTATTTCCATTTGAAGTACCTGGTTTATAAAATCAAATCCTTTCATCATTGCCTTTCTCTTTTAAATTGACTTATTTTGCTGATTAAGCTTAAAGCCTTGGGCTGAAAAAATGTACCAGTTACCAAAATACATCACCTGCTGCTGAGGAAGGATAAATCTTCCCTGTTTTGAGAGAAAGCCCATCATCTCCTTTTAACATACATTGTTTCTCTTGGTGTTAGTGGAAGCCATGTTCATTTCAAAATGGGAAGCCTTTCATGCAGTACCTAGAAACACTTGTTTTCTAGAGAGAAACTTCTATGATTAGGTTATAAATGTTTTCTCTAGTGATTTGTTTCATTTATTGGTTTAATTCTCAAGTGGACCTATGCTATGTAAAGTCTCTCATACTGAGAGTAGTCCATTAAATTTCTAAAAGTTGCACTGCTTTTCATCTTTCAGGTACTTGATAACATCAGGTATTTGGAAGGAGTAAGGTCATAAACTGTTCGTTTCTTCCTTGTACAAAGTGATGGCTTCTAATGCTTATATTTCAAGGTATATTTTTAAAAATCAACAGTCCCTATTAGAGTAAAATTTGGTTTTGATCCAAGCTCCCAATTATATATTTAATTTTTCTGTTGTTGCTGGTGCCTCCTGTTGCATCAGATATAGATTGCCTGCCTCTTTGTAGGGCACCCTTGTGGCACCTTATATCCAACTTGGAGGATAGTATATGGCTGTTTGTGCCTCTACTATCTTTTCAAAAGCCATTTTATAAAAATCCTAGGTAGCCTATTTTAATATTTAAATATATATAT